AATGGAACAATTAAAAATAATAGCACAGAGTTTTATATCTCTCTCTTCCTATTTTTTTTCTTTCTTTCTCTACCTTCCTCTTTCTTTCTTTCTTTCTTTCTTTCTTTCTTTCTTTCTTTCTTTCTTTCTTTCTTTCTTTCTTTCTTTCTTTCTTTCTTTCTTCCTTCCTTCCTTCCTTCCTTCCTTCCTTCCTTCCTTTCTTTCTCTCTCTCTCTCACACACACACACACACAAACGCACACACACACACACACACACACACACACAGAGCACTTAACAGACAAGCATTTTGGAAGCAGCTCCTTTAAATTTCTGCAAGGCCAGAGTGGATTCCCGCACCCCCTCTGTCAGACCACGCTCCTTCTCACTCCCGACACTTTAACTCACAAGGGGAAAGCGATGCTTGCAGCGTCCATGGGGAATCCTTGGAGAAGTTTTTAAAAGACCTGCTTCCAAAATGCATTTCTTTTACGTTGCAAAAGTGCTCCAAAGCGCGATTCACTCCCACCCCCTCTGTCAGACTGCACTCTTTCTCACTCCCGACACTTTAACTCACACGGGAAAAGCGATACTTGCAGGTCATCCTTGAGTATAACCACAATGGGGACCACAATTTTCCTTACAAAATGATGCAATCATTAAGTCAGTTGTGCCTGATTTTATAACTCCTTTTGCAGACGTTGTTAAGCAAATCACTGCATTCAGCAAGAAGCCAGCTAAAAACTGATCATGTGACTCTGGGACTTTGCAACCATTCTGAATACATGCTGGTTTCCGAGTGCCCAAATTTTGATCACATGACCACAGGCATGTTGCAACAGTCAACAATCAAGTTTGAGGACTGATTATCCCAAAGGCGCTTCTCTAAAAGGCAGCTGGACTTTTTCTATTTTATTTTTCTTGAAAACATTTTGCTTCTCATCCAAGAAGCTTCTTCGGTTCTTCTTCAGCTTCTTAGATGAGATGCAAAACATTTTCAAAGAAAAAAGCCAAGTAAGTCCAGTTTTGGACTTTTGGAGCAACGTCTTTGGGATAACCACAACTTGGATGATTGAGGATCTCCAGAGAGGGCTGATTTTAAGTCACTTTCTTCAGCAGCATCATAACTTCAACCAGTCGTTAAACAAATGGCCATAAGTCAAGGACTACCCACATTTTCAAAGGGAAAATTAAGCATACAGGTGTGATGTTTTAGGTTTGCAGGTTGCAAAAATCATGGCCAAGAAATTAAAATGTAGAAGGGATGTGTGTGACCCTGTTTAGTGAACACAAAATGCGAACCTGCCTGGTAAGAAAGGGATGGAGTATCCAGAATTTAGGAATCTTGAAGAGTTGTGCAATCAGGTGGTTAGAAATCCAGAGCAACACAACTAGAGCAGTTCTAGAATACAGACTTTAACTTTTTAATCAAGTCCTCAAACTTTGCTGAAACCCCAACAGTCCATCAATGTCTGGCAGAAGCAAAGTGATGAACAAGGCTCAAAATGAGTTCCTCTTGCTTTGTCTGCGAGAACTGGCCTTAAAACTTGCGCCCCTCCCCTTTCTAATTTCAGATGTCTGCCTGGAGGGAACCGACCCACAATTCGAGCATCCCTGACTTAAATAACGAAGCACGTTTTTGAGCTGAGCGTCATTCCTAGTGACTCTGTAGACACTTTGACATAGATTTATGAACAGTATAGAAGTGATTCCAATGAAGGAGAATATTAGTAGCTCAGGGTTGAAATGAAGGTGCTCTCTGAGCTTGGTTTTCTTGCAGTTGTTTCATGACCCAACTAGGTAACATCATCAGTCCTAGAAGGGGGGGTTTGGATGGAGGAGGGGGGGGGGGGACTATGGAATCCTTGGTGTTCTCTGAGCCTGGTTGTTTGCTTCCAGAATTACTAATTACTGAATGCACTAATGATGTCACCTAGTTTGGATAATGAAACATCTGCAAGAAAACAACCAAGCTCAAAGATTCCATAGTTCATCCTTCCTCCTCCTCCTCCTCCTCCTCCTCCTCCTCCTCCTCCTCCC